TTACGTACATTCACCTCAAGGCCGAAGTGTGCATGCGCATCTGCGTAGGTGTTCAGGATCTCCTGTAGGTCGCGTTCAGTGTGAGCGACAAGGGTGAAAGCTGCCGACACCTTTGTTCGTGCCTGGAGTCGTCTTATGTTGAAAAGACCCATCATCTGGTACCGGATGTCCACCCTCCCGGCTAAATTTGCCCTGGCACGAGTAAGGAAGGCAGCCAAGAAAGTGGAAAAGAGTTTGGTGCCAGTACACACCCTTGTTTAACTTCCGTTTGGATGGAGAAGAATTCAGACTGGGTGCCATTGTGTAGGACACTGCCGTTCATGCCATCGTGGAGTTGCCCCACAATAGCGATGAATTTTGGTGGGCAGCCAAAACGGATGAGGGTCCACCAGAGGGCTTCCCTGTTGACCGAGGCGAAGGCCTTCGTTAGTACACACACACACACACACACGAACGGAATTGGGGCAGTGTGTGTGTGTGTGTGCGTGCGTGTAAGTTTTATCACTTTCTCGATGCTTTACCCCTGAGACCTTTACCTAGGAAATAATAATAATAGTCCTGTGTGTTTTAATGAGGTGATTTTCCGCTTGCTATATGACATTTACGTTAATTACGTTAATTAAGACTAATTTTGTTCATTGTTTGTGTGTGTAATAATAATAATAATAATAATAATAATAATAATAATAATAATAATAATTACCGGTTTATTGAAAGCATGGAAGCCAAAAGGCTGAAAATATACAAGTAACATGAGTGATACAAATATGATATATAATAACAATTTACAGTGCAAAAGGGTAAGATTAGCCGGGAGTGAATACACTGGTTGATTACGAATTGTTGATAAATTTTACAATGGTTAGGACTGGGCTATTATTATAACGATCAGTACGTGCTCGTATGGGCTGGATGCGGTTGTGTTTCGAACAACAATTCACGGACGAGGGATCTCGGGTGGAAGCAGGAGCCGATGTCGAGGATGGTGCAGAAGCTTCTCACCAAATTTGTAGATGGGATCATGGTGACGATGAGAGAGAGGGTCAGTGTGTCGAGCGCTTCGTGATATGTGGAGTAGGAAGGGGAAAGAATAATCTTGCCTGCCATCTCCTGCACTTTTTCTAGGTGTTTCCGGTGTGTGGCATTTAGGGAGGAAGAACAGGCAGGGGAAACATAGGTGAGCTTGGGGAGTATGAATATTGAGTAAGCACTGAAGAGTTCGAGTGCGGGAACTCCGAGGGACTTGAGTCGGCGGAGTAGGTGGAGACGAAAGCTGGAGGATTTGACACTTGTACTGACGTGTTTTACAATTTAGTTTATATATAGTGACTCCGAGGAGCTTGGTGGAGTACACAACCTGGAGTGTTGGAGCCAAAGTAATGAAGGGAGGTGGGACAAGGTCAGAGGAGAGGTTGATGTGTAACCATGGTCTTGGTATGGTTGATGGTGACATGGTGTTTGGTGGCCAAATTTTGCAGACTTCAATATATTCTGGAGGGCGGTATAGTTGGGAGCTGAGTTGTTCACACTGATTCAAACGAGTGGAAGTTTTTCTTTGGACATCATTGATAAGCACGAGGAAGCAGAGCAGTCCCATCTTGGTGCCTTGGGGGACGCCGCAGGTAAGTGACTGAAAGGTGGAGACAGCCCCTTGGAAGCGTACGGCTTGGCGTCGGTCACTAAGGATGTCTGTAAGCCATGGTATAAGACTTCTTCGAAATCCGAAGTCGATAGCTTTGTTGATAATTAAATTATGGTCGACTACGTCAAATGCCTTGGTGAAGTCAATGGAGGAGACAGCCACAGACGTCTTTCGTTTTTCCAGATTGTGGTATATGTAGTCGAGAAAGCTGACAAGACAGTTAGTGGTGGAGGAAATTTTCATATTGCCAAATTACTGAGGATCTATGGTACCTGGAATATCAGCATAAGCCCAGTCAAGAACGAAACTTAGTAGATTAAGCTGGCTATTGGGGCGATGGCATTGGGTCGTAGCTCATTTAAGGATTGTGGAATCGTTGACTTGGGCACTGGTAACACGTATGAGGTCTTCCAGCCAGCTGAGCATCTTGCTTAATTAAGGGAAGCATTGATGATGGAGCAGAGGGGTTTAGCTAGTTACGGGGAGAACTCCCTGTAGTGTTTCATTGGTAAGTCAGTGGGGTGATGGGGCGCTATAACTTTAGTTTGTCCAAACGTTTTGCTACTTCAAATTCATAACACTAAGTCGGTGGGAAAGGGGGCTGGTAAGTAAGCAGGGAGACTGGCTGTGTCAAGCCGGGGGAGCGTCTGGCATATAGTTGCGAAATGGTTGATTGCTCAGGCCCACTCTTGTTCATAATCTACATAAACGATCTAGATACTGGGATCAGCAGTGACATAAGCAAGTTTGCGGATGACACCAAAATAGGGCGGCAGATTAATTCAGGGCAGGATGCAAATGCATTACAGGAGGATCTAAATAAACTGCAGGGGTGGTCTGAAAAATGGCAAATGAAATTCAACACCAGCAAGTGCAGCGTACTTAATACTGGAAGAACAAATACTGTCAATGTATACAGCCTTAACAACATCAACCAAGAGAAGTCGACAAGTGAAAGAGACCAAGGGGTACTTGTAAGCCCGGACCTACGGCCTAGAAAACAGTGCGTTAATGTTCGAAATAAGGCAAACAGAGTATTGGGTTTTATATCTAGAAGTGTAAGTAATAAGAGTACAGAGGTCTTATTGCAACTATATCTTGCGCTAGTCAGGCCGCACCTCGATTATGCGGTTCAGTTCTGGTGCCCTTATTATAGAATGGATATAAATTCACTAGAGTCGGTGCAGCGAAGAATGACGAAAATGATTCCGGGACTTAGAAACCCTCCATATTAGGATAGGTTGAAGAAACTAAACTTGGATTCCCTAGAAAGACGAAGAGTGTGGGGAGATATGATAGAAGTATTCAAGTGGGTGAAAGGAATCAATAAAAGTGATGTAGATAAAGTTCTTATAATATCCGAGCAGGATAGGACTCGGAACAACGGATTCAAGTTGATAAGTTTAGGTTTAGGAGGGAGATAGGAAGGAACTGGTTTACAAATAGGGTGGTGGACGAGTGGAACAAGCTTAGCAACTTTGTAGTAAGTGCTAGAACGCTGGAAAGTTTCAAAGGGAGGCTGGATAGATTCATGGATGATAGAGAGTGGTAGTAACTCTCGACAGGAGCTGCCATGCACAGGTCAACCGGCCTATTGCAGACTCCTTATTTTCTTATGTTCTTATGTTCAGCTGCGTCACCATTAGTGAGATGACTAAGGAAGGGGAGCCTGAGGGGGTGTACTTTAGTGTTTAGTCTACAAAGTTCTATAAGCTTACCATACCACTGACTGATGTTGGTCTGCTTCAGGTGTTGCAACTTGGTTGGGTAGTGAGACGTCTTTGCAGCGCATATTTCTTGGATGACTTGGTTGCAAAGGGACCTGAAGCGGTTGTGGTCATTGGGGTAAAAGGCACTGTCTCTCTGATAGTTTTTTGCGTGTGAGTTATTCGGTTGGGTTTAGGTGGTGATGTGTGTAGACAGTCTCTCTCTCTCTCTCTCTCTCTCTCTGGGGTGGTTAGGCTAGGTTGCTCTTTTAGGTTAGGCTTAGGGTTGTGTTTGGGTGTTTAATCATGAGGTGAAATAAGCTGGGGTGTCTAATCTCTTGTGATCTCATTAACCAAGTTGAATGAGAACTACAGTACTACTGACTCGCCCGCCTACCCGCACACACTCGCCCGCCTTCCCGCACACACTCGCCCGCCTACCCGCACACACTCGCCCGCCTACCCGCACACACTCGCCCGCCTACCCGCACACACTCGCCCGCCTACCCGCACACACTCGCCCGCCTACCCGCACACACTCGCCCGCCCACCCGCCCTGACTCGCCCGATTTGACCAATGTAAATACTAAAATGATTATTGTATTACAGATGTTGGTGGAATGATGTGGGTGGTGTGGGTGTGGTCGGCGTTCTCAGCCACCTCCCTCGCTCAGGTGCCCACAGGTGTTCAGGATGCAGGTGAGAACTTAACCGTCTGTTAAGTCACCTGAATATGTTGTTTACTATATATATATATATATATATATATATATATATATATATATATATATATATATATATATATATATATATATAAAACAACATATATATATATATATTTTTTGTCTGGGGTTTTTGTCACTAAATATTTTTCTCCTGTAATACCTCGTCACACTTCAGCTCTTTAAATGATGCAACACACTTGAGTAACATGCAGAGGAATTTCAATAATACAACCAGCTTGAGTTCTTACTTCTCTTGTATTACAATGATCAAAATATCCTGCTGTAACGTGTGGTAGATGATAGCATTTTGTCAGCCACTCGTGAAGAAATGCACAATTTATTTGTTTAGATAATGAACATAAAGCACGGCACACATGTGGGGTGTAACACTTATACTTACAGAGGTAAAGGAAACTCCCACTATCACTGGTCTATTGGTGCTGTACTGCACTGTATTGAGCTGTACTGTGCTGTATTGAGCTGTACTGTGCTGTATTGAGCTGTACTGTGCTGTATTGAGCTGTACTGTGCTGTATTGAGCTGTACTGTGCTGTACTGCACTGCAGTTGGAATTTGTTTACCTTAGCACCGCCACTAATGGTTTTAGTACCAGGTTTGGCAATTTTATCCCGTTTAAATATAAAATGAAATAATTTTACATATTGTTGTACAGTGGCGACACAATATGTCCTTGCTGGTCATTAATGTATTAACAAAATTTGAGGGAAAAAAAAATTTCCTTTGTCAGTTTAATAATATTCCTAACATTACTAAAGTTAAAGCTTCACATAATTACATACGGTATCACTTCTTTCAAATTAATGAACAATTAGTTTTCAACCAATTTAGCCATTTAAGTCTTCAATCACTTGCAACCTCTCTCTCTCTCTCTCTCTCTCTCTCTCATTACAGACATAATAACGTCCAGTGAGGTGCCAGCCGTGGGTAGAGATGAAGTGTTAGTGTTGGCCCTGCAGGAGTCTGGGGTGCCGTCCTCACACAGCTACGCCAGCTTACTCACTCCCTTCCCAAAGCTCATGTCCTTCACCGTGTGCTACAGACTCCTGCTAGGGAGGTTTCGCGAAGAGTCCACGCTAATGTCCTACGCCGTAGCTGACGATAAGGACAATGAGATCAGGATAGGTACGTCAGGTCTGAGTTTGTACATTTTCATTGGTCATGGTAAATGAAAGCCATTTATGGTACCTAGCTATTAATTCATGCTTAATATTATTTATATAAGGAAGATGATGATATATCTGGTTAAGAAGGAACTGATACGAAGCTGTAGAATACAAATGGTGCGCTGCCCATGGCGGCCTCTTATGTATTAATTTAGCAGAGTTATGACCTTGTGTTACAGACCACCAACTGACGAGCTACAAGGTGGCAGTACACAGTATCTGGGCCAAGACGGCGGTGGAGACGCCACTGCGGTACTGGACACATTTCTGCTTCACCTACCACTACACGAGTGGCAAGTGGCAGGTGTTCGTGAATGGGCAGCCTCGGGCCCAGGGCACGCTGCCCCCAGTCCTCGAGCCCCTCCGTGCCAACGGAAGTTATATTATAGGTCAGTCTCACATACCTCCATCCACCCCCGCCCTTACATTTCCTGTATGGTTTTATCCATCTTTTACCAAGATTACTGTATACTACTAGTCTTCCTTCAGTAGGTGTGTATACTGTACATCTTACAGTAGGTTAGTTTCTCCTAAATTTAGTGTCATTGGCAAACATTTGCATGAACGAGTAAATAACATCTGACATGTTATTTATAAAACAAAAAACACCTGTGATTGTTGTCCTTCACAAGTAAGTCATTCAAGATGTTCTTCACACACAAGTCTGGTCAGGTTTTATATTTAAAGAAATATCTCGAGTTTCATTAAATCTACAAACTATTGTACAGTATTGTGGTTAATAGGTCAGGAACAAGATTCACTCGCCGGAGGTTTCCAGCGTGACCAAAGCTTCAGTGGCGAGATCACCCACCTCAACTACTGGTCCAAAGTCCTCGACCATCATACCATCGCCAAGGTGAGTTACACAGATTACAGATTGCCCCGGAGGGGGTTAGTTTATTGGGCACCCCCTTACATCCTGTGCAAGGTGAAGGGCAGAAGCGTTTACAGTGCCCAACTGGGAAGCATGCGGAGTTCATGCTTGCCTTTATGACTCATGCATTAAGGGCGTGGAAGCCTGAAGGGTCATGAGTTTTGTCAGCAAGTTACATAAAGTGACAGAATGATGAGTGTGTGTGTGGGGGGAAATTCCCGGTACATTTCATCTGTTTATAGCAAAGCGTGGCAGGTCCCTAATAATGTCAAGTGCCAGGCCTGTGACTAGGAGGCGGGATAGCTGGTCAGGGAGGGAAGAGGTGTTGGTAACAGATTTTTTACAGATTGCCCCGGAGGGGGCTAGTTTATTGGGCACCCCCTTACATCCTGTGCAAGGTGAAACGCAGAAGCGTTTACAGTGCCCAACTGGGAAGCATGCGGAGTTCATGCTTGCCTTTATGACTCATGCGTTAAGGTTGGGGACCTGTAGGAGGAGGTCATAGGGCAAGTGAGGGTGTAGTGACGGAGGGTGTGAGAGTCGGGTTGGCCACAAAGTTTACAAACAGTGCGGCCAGGCTCAGGGTTGCCAATGTACTCCCATAGGTACCTGTACCCTAGGCGCAGTCTCATGTATATAATCTGTTGAGATCGAGCCAGAGATTGATACTCTTTGTATCTTTGTAGTGGCGGTTGGAGTCACCGGTTACAGCGTCATAGTGGCATAGTGTGACGCTGCCCCGTTGTTTCAGTTGTGTCCATTTTACGTCGAATGCTTCTCGTTGTGTGGCGTGTATGCGAGATTTGAGATGATTCAGGGAGAGGGCGAGGGTGGCTTCAATATCTTCTTCTTGTGTCGCTTCTTTGGCAAGTCGATCAACAGTGTCACAGGCAGTTATGTGACGGGATCCAAATAAACTTGACACGGATGTCATCAGTTTGTTCTAGCCTGGCGACGGCGGCTAGGGTGTGTTGGGCGGCAGGGGAGGAGGGGGAGGGTAATTTGAGCCTCGCCAGCGCAGAAGTGCTGTCACTGATTATCATGAGGTTCCGGCGTTCAGTGTGAGCATAGATCACCCCCTCATGAATGCCCGCGAGGATGGCTATGCTTTCAGTGTCATTGGAGGAGGCCCAGTCGTGGACCCTGATTTTCTTGCGGGCCTGGCGCTCAGGAATCCATACAGCTGCCCCAGCGCAGCCCAGCGTGGTGACAGACCCATCACAGTAGACGAGGATAGGAGGGAGGTAGGTCGTAAGAGAAGAGGCGACATCATCAATCTGCTCAAGGCAGTTAAGTTTGAGCATATACCGCAGTTGGGTGGATTTACAACCAGGGAAGGTGTGGACGACAACATCAACACACGGGGAGGTCCACGGCGGTAGAGGTGGATGAGTGTACTCGGGAGGGAGAGAGGTCGAGGGGGTGTAGAGGTGATAACGCAGGATGTCAGCAGCAGTGTGGACGGGCCAGTGTTGAGAGAGGGAGGGAGAGGTAATGGGGGCAGGCCGGCGCAGGAGGGAGTCAAGATGTGAGATGGGAGTCGGTTTCTCACTGCGAAGGAGTTTAACACCAAGGATGGCATTGAGAGCAGTAATTCGATCGCAGAATGGAAGCAGGATCAGTTCACGCTGCATGACTTCTATTCTGGTGGTCATAGGGCAGCCGAGGATGAGTCTCATCGCTCTGTTTTGGATTTTCTCTATGCTTTGTTTCTCGTGTTGGGAGGCAACTACAAGGACAGGAGAGGCATAATCTATGACAGCTCTGACGATAGCAATGAGGCGTAGGACCCTGACAGAGGCTCCTTTGAGGCCGTGGGTAAGGGACTGGAGGGGCCTCGTTCGTTGGCGGCACTGGGAGATGACGTGGGCGGCGACAGCAGAGGTGGTGGCGCTGGTAGTGGCTCGCACGGGTAGACCAAGGTACCTGTAGGTGTTTACTTGATCGATGTCTTGTCCTTGCAGAGTCAGCGGAGTCTGACGCCGGAAGTGTGAGATGAACTTGGTTTTAGTGTGTGAGATGACTAGCCCGAGTGTTTGACAGGTCCGGGCGAACGTGGAGAGTATAGGTTGTTCATGTTGCACTGTAGTAATTTGGAGGAGGATATCATCAGCGTAGCTTATGATGTGACCGTCTAGGGCGCGCTCAGCAAAGATGTCGTTGAGGCGGCCCTGAAACCGGACACGGGCCCGTCGACGGGAGAGGTAGTCAGCAATCCACGTGAGGAGTTTGCTCTTCACATCAATGTGAGTGAGACCCTCAAGGATCACTTCACTATTGGTTTTATCAAAAGCACCCTTGAAGTCGACGAAGAGGGAGGTTTTGGCTGAGGTGTTCGCCATGTAGTGAGTTACACTATCACTAAGGTGAGTTACACTATCACTAAGGTGAGTCATGTAGACTTCATATAATTATATGCAACATTGAAGTATGAGTGGGTGACATGGTAGATTATTTAACACTGTATAGAGTATGACATCCAGTAGCTAGTGAGACCTCACTTGGATTACTCTGTTCAGTTTTGGTCATCGTATCCAGAAGGCATTCAGAGGAGGATGACAAGCCTAATCCCGGGCATTAGGAACCATCAGTATAGACGGATTAAAGCATCTGAATTTGCGCTCCCTCGAGAGACGTAGAGCGAGGGGCGATATGATCGAGGTGTGTAAATGGAAGTTTGGTTAAAAACAGGTGATGTAACAAAAGAACCTAAACTATCTTACGAGGAGCAAACGCGTATCAATGGTTTTAATTAAATTGGACAGATATAGATTTAGATGTGAGATAGGTAAACAATGGTTTGGAAATAGAGTAGTGGATGAATGGGACAAGTTACCGAACATCGTCATTAATTCGAACACGCTTGATAGCTTCAAATATAGGTTGGACAGATATATGAGCGATAGGGGTTGGGTGTAAATGGGGCTGCCAATTATGGGCCAATAGGCCCGCTGCAGTTTCCTCCTTCCTATGTTCCTATTTCCACGGAAGATGCCTTTGTGTAGTAAATATAAACGCATCCTCAGGTAACCAGGTGATGACATCAGGGTACACTCCATGTGTGGTAGTCATTGTTAAATAGATATGTCCTCCTCGGGTAGATGTTGAGGGCAGTTTGTGATATAAAAAGAAAAGGTAATTTTTTTATACCCTAAGGTGGCGGCATGTGACAACCTACAAGAGGGGGAGGCGATGGCATGGTCGTTGCAGCAGTGGAAGCTGAATGGGGATGTCAGGTGGAGGGTACGGAGCCTCTCAGAAGTTTGTGACACCTCCACCCGAATGCTAGTCATCTTCCCAGACCGCTTTACGCTCACTGCCGCCATACACTTCTGCCAGGTACACTACTTTAACCCTTGAGTACAATGCTGTACATTAACGTGGCCTATGTGTAATGACTTAACACCATATTTACCAAGAAAGACTTGAGTAACTTAATTTACCTAAAGACCACCACTAGAGGTGGCCATGCCGAGAGGAGGCCAGTGGCCTATTTAGAATGCCTTAATTGTTCTTGACAATTTTGTCAAGGGCAGTTTTAAAGCCCAGTACTGTTCTTCATTCTATAGCTTGGGCTGATAGACCGTTCCATAGGTCTACCAGCCTTTGTGTGAAGAACTGTTTCCTTATGTTCGTTCTGCACGATAACTTGGCGAGCTTGTAGTTATCTTCTCTCGTGTTGGTGGTGCTTGACATCACAAAGAAATGATTCAGGTTCACGTTTTTCATCCCTGTCAGGATTTTGAATGTTTCAATGAGATCTGCCCTATTGTGCCTTATCTGAAGGGCTGATAGTCCTAAGGCCCTCAGTCTACCTGGATAATGTTATAGAGTCACAAGAGGATATTAAATCAGACTGTACAGTATTAAGAGTAAGATCTTAGTAGTTGTTTGAATGACTGGTAACCCGATAAGTTAAGAAGACTACATTCAGTTCCAGGTTCAGCTCCTCCTCAAGTAAGGTAACGAACGGACAAAAACATTACAACGACACCAATTTTTGGGGATAATTTCCCTTCACACTTTCCTCTGTTTACTGTTGTAAGTTGACCTTGACTTGATACTAATGTTTGCCTTTTCCTCTTCACCATCATCGGCTTCCACAACAACTGTGTAGTCTCAGTAATCTGGTTGCTACAGAATTATATTATTTTCGGATATTTTTTTACGAAGTCCTTTGTGAATAGATGTATCATTTCAAGCTACTGTACGCTTCTCTCCGACAAGCCACTATAAATCAGGTATTGTACTGTAGTAGTATACCTTGCTGAATATTCTGTACTATATATCCCGCTCACTGGTAAGCAAACAGGTAATGAATGAAAAGTACACAAACAGTATATATGTGTACGTGTTTGTTTGGTATGTTGGTACACTATAAACTGTGATAATAACGTCCCTAAACAAAAGGAAGGATGGATGACACTTTGAAAAATCAGTGTAGAGCTGGTAGGATAAATAACTAACACAAACATGCAATCACCATAAAACCCTATTGCCTCAGAAGCAGGGAAAGGGAAGGAGATGTCATAAGTACTGTATTAAGGTAAAGATTCACTCACCAAAAACTTTTCGATCGCTTTAAGCACTATGCAATCTGAAAAATAAACGAAGAATCTGAAACTATTTTGCTCATTGTCACATCATCGTGCCCAGGTGTTCGAGAAGTTTTTGTTGAGAGTGTACATACATACATTAACTTTATTCACCAGTGCAGTACTGTCTTATGGTAGACTCTGCTGCCATACTGCATCACAAAAATTGTGACCAAGTCCCAGGTTGCTTTTTTTTCTTTATTATTATTATTATTATTATTATTATTATTATTATTATTATTATTATTATTATTACTATTGTTATCGCTATTATTTTTATTTTTTGATTTTTTATTATAAATTTTACTTAATAATAATAATAATAAGTAAAATTTATAATAAAAAATCCAAAAATAAAAATAATAACGATAATAATAATAATAATAATAATAATAATAATAATATTATACATATTTATTAATATTACTACATTTTTCGCCCCAGGCCTTGAAGGGTCATGACCTGTGCCCGGATGGGCTAATCCCCCTGTAAAAAAAAAAAACCTTCAACTTTGCTAACTACACAATATACATTTTTAACATAATGAAACAGTGAGAGATCAAGGTAATGCTGAAACTATAGTCTTGAATTCCTGAAAAAAAAAGGCTAGGGGTTAACAATGGTATGCAAGATCAGGTGAGCTGGATACTTCACACGCACCTAACCAACTGACTAGCCTCCAGTACTAACTTTGCATCCTTCTTTATTACTCTTGGTTTGACCTCTTTTATTACCTCATCCTAGAAAATGTTGAACATCTCTGGCAATTTGTTGTAGTTCTACTCTCACTGGCAACTATTTTCTTCTTTCTGACACTTCAGCCACATACTGTACTTCACTCTCCCAGGAAACATTCAGAGTGGTATATTGTACTACAGTGTCCCATTTTCCTATGCTGTACATTTTCACTGCCACTCATATTGTTTTTTCTATATACTCTTTCCAGATCTTTCTCTCTAAATTTGTTCACATAAAGTAACTACACACTCCATTGCTGAAACCAAACAAATATTCCTCTAATACTGTATACTCTGATCTTGCAGCAGTTTTCTCATTATTAACTACTAAAAACTTTGCATGTTAAACCTAATAGACGTATTTGTCTATAGTATTTGCATACAATTTATTGATCTTTTTTTTTTTAGAGTGGAGCTAAAAGCTGTGTCATTCATTTAGTATTATACTAAGTATTTTCCACATTCGGTAATAATTTCTTTACCGGTATATTTAATAAAAGTTACTACCGTAAATGTTGGTGTGTAGTTGTACTAACTTAAGTTGATGTTATTAAGGGAGGTGTACCGTACTAAGAAAGTGTCATATGTGTAAGTATAGTAAGCTAGTGTGTGGTGTTGTTGCAGGTGGTGGGAGGGCAGGTTGCGGTGCCCTTATCCAGCGAGGAAAACACTCGGGTATATGAGGCGTCCAGCAGCATGGCAGAGAACTGCTCAGGGGGGCAGGGTGCTTCTTTCATGTGGCTGGGAGCCCACGATCAGCTGAGGGAAGGTCAGTGGATAACCTGGGGCTCAGGACAGCGCCTCACCTGGGAGGGCCCGTGGCGGGGTGCGGGGCCCAATGGGGGTACCTCAGAGAACTGTTTGGTCATGTTGAGTGGCAAGTACCCGGCCCACTGGTCAGACATCACTTGCCTCGACTCCTACAGATTCTGCATGACCTGTGAGTTCTCCCGCCGCTCCACCTTGCACATGAAGGGGGCTGCACTTTGTGATGGCTCACCCTTCAACACCCTCTATTTCCTTAACCAGAATGCCAGCGACCGTCCTCACCTGGCTGGCTTTCTTCACTCTGTCATAAACTGGAACCCTGATACCCACTCATGGTTGCTCACCAGTCTGAAGGTGCGTCATCCCTCCATCTAATTGACTCATAATTTTTGAGACAGAAGTTTTAGATAAAATATAAACATAATTAGAGAGTAGATATAAAACTGTAGTTTTGAGACCACAAGACAACTGTCCCCTTAATTAAGAGATGACTTTATAAGAGCTCGCTGTCATGCATGTTTGTGTACTATCTATGTTGGACAGAACTAAGGGTCAAAAACTGTACCCTAACATAGCAATTCCTTGTCTGTCACAGTCTACCTAATTTTATGTACAAACCTAACTTGTGTTTTCCTGCATTAGGTTTTGTCTCTTAAAAGTAATCATCCATTTTTAAGTTAATGTTCACTCCAGAAATGGTGAACATACTGTAATTAGATAATATCAGGTTCCCATGGCTAATTAAACATGATTAAATTAGCATTTGCCTGTTTTTTAATTTCTAGGGTCACCTAATTTTGATTAATATATGTTTGTGGTTCAAGCTATTAAAATGTGAAAAAAATTGCAATTGCAGACCTATACATAAACTGAAGTTTTACAACGAGTACATATGAACAGGTGGAGGGTGCCATGGCCAGCTGGACTCCTGCGAAGGAAGGGATGTACCCCTTTGGCACCAACAATTGGGTACTGGGGAGTGAAGTATGTGGAATGTCACCCGGCACTACTGTGCCACTCACTATCTCTGTGTGTGGCATTGGCCAGTTCACCTGTGCTGATGGATCTTGTATCGAGCTATGGCAGCGTTGTGACCTGCGCGTCGACTGTCCGGATCAAAGTGATGAGTCGAGCTGTTCTCTGGTGGAGGTTCCCCAGGGCTACAGCACCACCATCCCTCCACCACCACTCTCCCATAGCCACACACTCCCCATCACATTCTTCGCCGAAATAATGGCCTTTCCGTCCATCATCACCCAGGACCTCACCATGATGGCCACCTTCAAGCTAGCTCTCCGCTGGCGAGACGTTAGACTAAACTTTCTCAATCTTAAGGAAGACCTTAGTCTTAATTTACTTACAGAGGAGTCTGTAGCAGCCATCTGGACCCCACGTGTGTTTTTCAGTAATGCTCAAGGCAATGTGTTCACCAATTTGGAACAGGGTGCTCGTGTTGAAGGAGTGAGGGAAGGACCTTCCAGGCCTAGCCCCACACACTACCCTGTTGAAGGTGAGCGTAGGATGGAGGAGAGGCTAGTGGAGAGAGCCCTCAGAGTTGCTTTCAGGGGGCAGTGGTTAGGGACATGGAGAGAATAAAGTAGGTAGAGAAACTGATGGGAAATAATTGGCAGAAACTGGGAAGTGATGGGGAACAGCAGGAGACATAGTCTATAAACTGTTGTATTATATGAATTTGAGATTAAGTAACATTCACACACTATTGATACTTCATTTGATACTACATTTGTAATTTTTATGAAAATGAGATGACAAAGTCAAAAGATAGGATCATGAAAAATCATGGTTTCCATTTTCTCAAAATAATGTTCATGTTCGAGTGTGTATTTGACTGACCCCCTTCACTCTCTCACAGTAAACATATTCTCTGGCCATGAGAACAGCCTCGAGATGAGTCAACTCTACACTGTTACCTACACCTGCGAGTTTCAGCTGGCCAAGTTCCCATTTGACTCTCAGGTGAGCCTATCAAACCCCCTTCACTTTTGATACTCAGGTGAGCTTCTATTTAATGGAATAGGACCTATAGTGAAGCTAATGTTGCCTAGTGCACAATTAATTTTTAAAAATGTTAGTACAGTGTACCTATTGTGGCACACCTGGGACTGATGCACCAGAGCTTGGATACATCACCATGACTTCCACGTTCATACAAAAAGTAGCACAATATTCTGAAAAAAAAAGGATTGAAATAAAAGTGTTGTACAGGCATATAACATATTCTCCCAAAATGTGAATATAAATAACATGAAAAAGAAACAAAGCTGAATGTACTTAATTAAGAATAATCGGAAATTACCTACGTAGGTGACTAACTTTTGGTACTTCTTTATTTAACCAGCAATGGCAAACTTAAAAATCTTCTTGTCAACTCGGCTGTCTAATGGTATTTCCAGTATCAGTCTTTAGTTTATTCAGAAGTTAATCTGAAGATGTGTTTTGGGGGATTCTTGCTCGACTTTGTTGCTGGTCCATGTTCTTGGTTTTCTTTTTTGAAAGTACTTGAAATAAATTTAGGCAGTTTTATTCATTCGTCATCTAATGTGAAGATGTGTTGTGGTATATGCATGTTTTGGAGTGTTGAGTACTATACAGGTATACTGGTTACAGTAATAATTTCAGATTTATTTTCTTTAAATTCCTGATGTTTTGGTAGTCTAAAAAACATGGTTTCCACTAGAGGAGTTACCATAGACTCGGTGAATTCATTACCTTACTTCTGAAAGAAGTATAGTTTGAGGGATATAGCATAAATAGTGTTCTTCCACCAATGTCTCCCTCTCCAGGACAAATCTGGTCTTTAGTTCATGTCCCATAGACTCAATTAATTGCTTTTCGGGTTCTGTGTGAGTGTTTCACGGTTGATTCCTCTCTAACATTTTTGTTTATGTTGCTTACCCAAGTAATTTATACTGTGTTCATATTTTGTTAATAAGAATACAAATTTCCAAAGGTTCACATTTACCTATAGCAGTCGTAGAAAACGGCCGTAAAACGTTGATGATGATAGTAACCAAGGAGAATGGTCAGTTATAATATAAATCTGCTGTTCATGGTAATGGTTAGAATTTATAAACATAGCTGGGAACAAATGTGATACTGAGGGGGTTGATGGCGCCGAGCTGTTCCATGCAGGCAATTCTCTCAGTTGGTGTCTTGAAGAGTTTCATTCATCAGGCTTACCAGTACATGTATAGCCAAAAACTCAAATGGACTTTTAAAACATTATCTGTGTATCAACAGCACTGTAAGAAGCAGAATGTGCTGAACATTTGTCCTCGTATAGAAAAGTTATCTGTATTAATGCACAGTTTTTAATTAATAAATATTGAATAAATATTATTTTAATGATTCACTGTTAAATTAATGTTTCAGGTGTGTTCTCTGTCGTTCAGGTTGGTGTCAGCGTCGGCGTCATACCTCTCTCTCGTGCCCGTCAACGTCACCTACTCTGGTGAACTGAACCTCATTGAGTACACCATCAGTACGTTGATTCTTGCATGTCTCTCTAGACCAGGGGTCACCAAACTTTTTTTCACAGTGGGCTGGATAACTGAAAGAATGACGAGCGCGGGCAGCATAATATTTAAATTTAAATTTAAATTGTATCACAACGTCTCGTGTTCCATACGTTTTATCAAGCAAATTCAAGTACCGTCGGCGGGCCTGATGAACTGACGTCGCGGGCCGGATCCGGCCGTAGTTTGGTGACCCCTGCTCCTGAAGGCTATAGCAATGGCCAATCCTGCATACAAAAATTACAATTCTTTCGTATTTAATTGTATTTATGTGCTTCATGTTATAATAATTACAGCATTAATGTTATTTTATTTTTATTCTAATTCTTGTTATTGCCTTTCATTATAAGGGCAGTAGTTATGTAGAATAGAAGGTTATTATTGTTTAAATTTGTTCATGACATTACTCCTGCCACCCAGCAGGTGGGGTGAACCTAAAGCTATTCAAGAGGAGAATTCTCGGCTGTGCGGGTGAGTGTGCGCTTCTCCAGGAGGTATGAGTTCTACGTGCTGACGCTCTATATCCCTACCGCCCTCCCCTCATCTTTCACCGCCTACACCACTTTCTACTTCAACCCTACCATCTTTCAACCTCGCATTGTCGTCGCCCTCACCGCTCTCCTCGTCCTCTCCTCGCTCTTCTCCCAAGTACGTAATGCCTCACACTCCTTACTCGTGCCCAGGTATGCCATGCCTCACTCTTCTTTAGATCATGCCTCCTCTTCACCAGGTATGCCATGCCTCCTCTTAACCCTCTTGGTATGCCATGCCTCCTCTTCACCATGCTCACTCTTCCCAGTGCCTCCTCTTCACCCAGGTGCCCATGCCTCACCCTCACCCAGGTACCCCCATGCCTGCCTCACCAGGTATGCCATGCCTCCTCTGCCCCCTCACCCAGGTGTGCCATGCCCTCACTCTTCACCAGTGCCCATGCCTCCTCTTCACCCCAGGTGTGCCCATGCCCTCCCACTCTTCACTTAAGGTACCCCCATGCCCTAACTCTTCACCCCAGGTACTGAATGCCTCACTCTTCGTCAAATTGTTGCCTCACTCTTCACCCCTCACCCAGGTATGCCATGCCTCACTCTTCACCCCGGTATGCCATGCCTCACTCTTCACCCAGGTACCCCATGCCTAACTTTTCACCCAGGTACCCCATGCCTCACTCTTCACCCAGGTACCCCATGCCTCACTCTTCACCCAGGTACCTCATGCCTAACTCTTCATCCAGGTACCCCATGCCTCACTCTTCACCCAGGTACTCCAGCAGAACGTCTTTTGGTTATAACAGTTAAATTGTGGTGGGGAGAGTCCTATGTTCTGGGTCATTCTTGATGCACTTTTACTTATTCCTTTTCTTAAATGACCAACCATACTCACTCTCAGTTGCTTGACGTCCAACTTCCATAACACATTTTCTCCCCAGGATATTCCACATAATTCCAAATCTCTTCATCATTCCACAGATTTCAGTAATCTCTAATTTCTCTGCATCCTTCTTCTCGAGATGTCCAACACTTTGCACAATCTCTGACTCCTCTCATATTTTACCATCTTCCACTAGATGTGTAACCTTCTACCTTAATTTCCAATAGATGCTCAATACTCCTCAAAGTCTCTGTCTTTTGTCATAAACTTTCATCATAATTCTGTCTCATCATATAAAATTTAACCGCATTCCCATAATTCTTGGTAACTCTTCTCCAGACATCCAACTCGCTGCCCAAAACATCATACTTTAAACTAGTGGATGTATGGCTCTTCTTTTCCGTGGTGATCATCTTTGTCATGATTGTGCTTCAGACGCTGGTCGAGTTCTGTTCCCTCGATACCGTCTTCCACTTTAGGAGGAAGAATGTAGTCATACAGGTGAGTCCTCCACAATGCAGTGGTATGTGTACTACAAACTTTTCTTTGTTTATCTTTTTCAGTGTACAGTATATTAATTTAGGTATACCTATACATATCTAAGATGTTGAAGTAAAGGTTCTGGGGTATGATTAAATGTTGGTACCTATATAAATATTTTATTCTCGTACTCTGCTCTATCCTGGATGTCCAGCCCCTCACTTTTAATGCATCCTTCAACCATGTTATTGCTAGTGACAACGGGGGCTAGATGTTCCAGCTTGGCCACCATACCCTGCTCATTAGTTATGATGAGGTTCAGTGGTTTTGGTGTTTTGTTCTCTCTGTAGTGAGTCGGATCTTTAACATGTTGGTGGAATAGGAAATTGTCTTTTAAGAGATTCTACAAAAAAGAGTTAGAGTTACAGGATTATTAAGGTCATTTGGTGTAATTTCACTCCTCCACTCGATGTCACTATACAGTAGATAAAGGTCCCAATAACAGGGTGTTGGCTAAGTTCAGCACTGTTGCGTTGTCTATTAAGGCTCTCAAATTTCTTTGTGTTAATAAACTGCAATGTGGTACACCTCGACTTTAGCAAAGCCTTCGACAGATTCCCCCATGAAAGACTTATTAGAAAAGTGGAGGCTCATGGAATTGGAGGAGATATTCTAAAACGGATAAGGACCTGGTTATAGGACAGGAAACAGTGAGTAAGCATTAACGGCACTAAATTCGCTTGGGGTAATGTTACTAGTGGAGTACGCCAAGGCTCAGTATTTGGGCCATTACTATTTATTATATACATAAACGACATAGATATAGGCGTAGACAGCAACATAAGTAAATTTGCTGACGACACTAAAATAGGGCACGTAATTAAATCTGACGAAGACTCCACAAAGCTACAGGAATATAATTTTTTTTTGCATGGTCTGAAAAATTGCAGATGAAATTAAATGTGGACAAATGTCAAGTAATTAGTCTCGGAGATGAAAGCAGAGAAACCAGATACTAGATGAACAATGATGTTATAGAGAAATCCGACTGTATGAAAGATGTAAGAGTAATGATGAATAGGAAACTTAAACGAAGACAACAATCAACATTTACTTGAAACAAGGCTAACAAAGTACTTGGTTTATGCAATGGAGTGTCAGTGCAAAAGACTAGCGAGGTTATCCTCAAACTGTATCTTGCGCTTGTGAGATCTCACTTGGATTACGCGGTTCAGTTTGGTCACCGTACTACAGAATGGATATAGTGTCCCTAGAGAGAATTCAGAGCAGGATGACAAGAATAATCCTGGCCATTAGGAACCTTGAATACAGAGGTAGGTTAAAGCATCTTAATTTGCACTCCCTCGAGAGACGTAGAGTGAGGGGCGACATGATTGAGGTGTATAAATGGAAGTCGGGGTTAAACAAAGGTGATATAACAAAGGTACTCAAACTATCAAATCAGGAGCGAACTCGTAACAATGGTTTTAAAATAAACAAATTTAGATTTGGGCGCGAGATAGGTAAACACTGGTTTGGAAATAGAGTAGTGGAGGAGTGTAACAAGTTACAAAAATTCATCATTAACCTGGACAAGCTGGGTAGCTTCAAATATAGGCTGGGCGGATATACATTATGATCGAAAGGAGTTGGGAGTAAACAGGGCTGCCTGATATTGGCCAATAGACCCGCTGCAGTGTCCTTCATTCTTATAATCTTAAATACACCCAACAAAGAGTAAGTTTCTACCCTTCAGTTAATTTTGTACTGTTTCGATTCTTCAAAACTATTTCCACTTGCACCCTCTAAGCTCCTGTCTAGCATAATTAACCACACCAGTATATTAAACTCACAATTCTTCTATTGTTATACAACAGTTCCGCTACACCTACTATATCAGGGTGAGAGGTTATGGGACTGGGATATGACTTGCTGTTCTCCCTTGTTCATTCCTTTGGTTCTGCACTGGTGCACTTACCTCCACTACCTATTCCTTGTATATAACCCAACTGAGTCGGTCCCCGTTTTTCATCGAATCCTCTCTTCTGCTTCAAGCTCATCATGAGTTCTTTGCATTGCTGTGCAATCTGGACTGAAGAAAATTTTGGGCAAGGCTGTATTCTCTGCTAAGTTTTTGCTTGTCGAATGGTATCCCACTCTTTTCCTAATTTTCTACTGCTATTCTACTTTATCACTTTTCTTCCTCCCATTCATAACATTTCAATGGTGATTCCGTCCACTCCTGGTGCTTCACTATGTGTGCAACCAGCCTCACCTTCTACTCCCTCATTACATTGTTTTTTTTTCATTTACTGTGACAGTAATCCACCACGTCCTAAACAGGATAATGTACCTCTACTGTCTGTTTCATTAAGTTGCTGTAGCTGCTGCCATACATGTGTTCTCTTAATCTATTATGGTGTTTCCCCTTCTAGAAGGCCGAGAGATTTTCATCTGGTTTACTTCAGTCACTTCACACAATCCAACATCACTCTTCAGCAGCACACACACACATGCCACTTAACACCAGATTTCCAATCATGCATGTATGCTACATTTTCCTCGTTCCTGTGTTCTATCTCCTCAGTCTTTCCCTCGTTTTCCTACAATCCACCTCATATTTATATACTGTACAGTATATGCTTTTTTACTTACTAATATATATAGGTTTTTATTTTCTCAAGCTACTCGTATTCCTACAGCTGTCAAATGCTTTTCTCTTTCATATCTCATAATACCAGTTATATTATTCTTAGTATCCTATTCACCCCACAAATTGGTAGAGCGTTCTCCTCACGAGTAAATGGTCACAGGTTCAATTTCAGACCTGATTGTAAGATTGGGTTCCTCTCGGCAGTAAATGAGTAGATTATCGGTTATGCTTTCCAACGGTGGAACAACCACACCGAGGGGAGGGGTGATTTGATAGCTGCTGCTTGCTGAGTATCTGGAGATCAGCACCTGTACGTCCGCTCTGCACTAAACCAAGAAAGTTTTTTATTTATTTTGTTTTTATTTATTTTTTTACACCTTATACACACAAACACTTGTTACTTCCAGATGAAACCCACAACAGGGAACCAAAACACAGGGGAACCTCGGATGTCTCTTAGTCTGGCCATCTTCCTGAGTGGTCGTATCCTGATCCCTGTCATCGTTCTTCTCTTCAACTTCATCTATTGGGGCAAAGCCCTGACTTAGTTTTGTGGATACAACAGTATTAGTTCAGTGGTATTGTTATAATAATTATGGTACACATATACTTGCTCAGTATTATTGGTTCGTTGGTATTGTTCTCTGTGTTTTAGTGCTAAAATTATCAAATAAAAATATATTGTACAGTATACTGTAATCAGAATATTTATAATTTTTTTACAGCTAATTGTAATAGTCAGTTTTTTACTAAATAATTTTAAGTCAGAGTAAAATCATTATTCGTATACACCACTTTGGGACATGACAGTTTATACTGTACACAAATTATTACAATCACAAAATCACAAAATATCGTAACACAATTCAATCTAAATGTTAGTTCTGTCTTCTTCCTATGTAAGAAAAAAACACCGATGATAAGTCCAATGTACGATGCTGGACAATAATCATGGAGCCATGCGATGACGGGTTTATGATTGACAGAGAAACAAACACGGCTGTAGTGCGCCGTGTGGCGGCGCGTGGGTAGGCTTACAAGTGAAGGTACAGATGCATCATACATAGGGTTAAATATTGTTTCATTACAAAACGTCGTTGAATTAAGGTAAAAAAAATTAATGTGCATTGCTGGAATCCTTGCAAGACAGCGATTAATTTGAGTACCCTGTACTGTATATGCAACCCACAGTTTGCACTAAAGATAACAAACAAATCCAACCAATGGCTATTCGATGGATATCGTTAAAGTGAGTTACTTTGATCGTATATAGTGAGATGGTCTTAATTTATTACCATCGTTAAAGCGGAATATCGCTGATTGGGATATTGTATCTCGAGGTTTACCCGTTTGTGTAGAGCCTGCTCCTCTCCCCTGACTCTATGAAAATCATGATGAATAGGATGAATGGTGATGGTGATGATAAAGTTGAAGGCAGGTCGGAGCTGCGTCATGGGCCGAAAAACTTTAAGAGCACCTGCAGACAATTTTGGGTATATCATGGATGTCATCCATGAATAATCAAAGACCGCGAAATTTAAGAGGATGTACACTGTACACTATCAGGTGTTTGTTTGGCTTGGGTTGTTTGCATTTTTATATATATATATATATATATATATATATATATATATATATATATATATATATATATATATATATATAATTGTTCGTGACGGTATCGTTTATCTGGAGTGACGGATATGTAGCTACAAAAAAATTTCAAGTATTAGTACTGCACTGAATTAAAGACAACATGTCACACGAGGTACTCAGTCATTGTGAAATTTTGGTCACATGTTCTTCCAATCGTCTGTTGGCCCAGTGTTTGAAAATGCTTGTAGATCTCAAAATTTACAGAATTTTATTCAATTTTCCACCACTTTAGGTAATGCCGTTACTTTTTTCCAACGATTTACCAACGTTGGCCCAACATTGTGAAAGTAGCTTAAATTTAGTCAACTACTGTACTTTATTTACTG